AAAAAAAAAAAAAAGAGAGAGAGAGAGATGTGTGATCCGGAGGGTCCGTGGCTGGTGTCATCCTCTTCCGGTTTAGGACCAGTGGATTTTGGGCACTGGAGCCGCCTCTTTGGCAAACAGCTTGAGGGAGAAATCAAGGGCTGGGGCCGCCTGGGTCAGCATCCCCATGGAGATGACGTCTATGTGCGGCCCGCAGAACTGAGGGAGGTTGTCCAGGGTGATGCCCCCGCTGGCTTCCACCGCCACACTTGGGAACTGGGCCTTCAGCGCGGCAGCCGTGGGGTGCAGCTCCTGCGGGACACAAGCGGAGGGGAGGTGAGAGCCCACCACAGACCCCTCCCCGGAGGCAGAGCCCACCTCACCTTCGGCTTGAAGTTGTCCAGCAGGACAAGGTCGGCACCCGCCTCAGCCGCCTGCACGGCCTCCTGCAGGCTGCTGCATTCCACCTCCACCTTCAGAGCGAAGTCGGCTGCCTGCCGGGCCGCCCGCACCGCCTGCTGGGCAGCCGGGAGGACGAGGGTGAGGACTGGGCCCAGTGCCTGGCGCTGGGGCGCAGGGAGCCGGGAGGGCGAGGGTGAGGATAGGGCCCAGCACTGAAGCTGGGGCCCAGGGAGCCAGGACTGGCATTTGAAAAGCTCCGGATGGACCATGAGTTTGGGGTTAATAAGGAAACCAGACGTTGGGTTGGGTTTGTTTTGTTTTGTTTTGTTTTTGAGACAGGGTCTCATTCTGTTGCCCAGGCTGGAGTGCAGTGGTGCAATCATAGCTCACAGCAGCCTTCACCTCCTGGGATCAAGTGATTCTCCCACCTCAGCCTTCCGAGTAGCTGGGACTACAGGTGCGTCCACCACACCCAGCTAATTTTTGTTATTTTTAGTAGAGACGAGGTTTCACCATGGTGGCCAGGATGGTCTCTAACTCATGACCTCGTGATCTGCCCGCCTCAGCCTCCCAAAGTGCCGGGATTACAGGCGTGAGCCACCGAGTGGCTGGGACTACAGGGGCTTGCCCACAAACATGGCTAAATTTTTCATTTTTTGTAGAGACAGAATCTTGCTATATGGCCCAGTCTGGTCTCAAATTCCTGGCCTCAAGTAATCCCCCAACCTGGGCCTCCCAAAGTGCTGGGATTACAGGCATGAGCCACTGAGCCAGGATGTTTTATTGTAGACTAAAATGACCACTTTTGTGGGTCAAAAAGCGGATGAATATCAGCAATATTTGGCATTTGGACCTGAGTTCAATTTGACTCAGAATATTAAAATTAGAAGGAGTCTTTAAGGACATTTCACAGATGGGAAATTAGGTGCAGAGGGCTAGAGAGATGGGCTCAAGGCTGTGGTGCCAGTGACACTGGCTTCCCCCGGGTTGTCCTTTGTTCTCGAACATTACACCACGCAGCAGCAGAACAAAGATAAAGAATCAATTCCAAAACCAGGTGCGGTGGCTTATACCTATAATCCCAGCACTTTGGGAGGTCAAGGTGGGAGGATCTCTTGGGTCCTGAAGTTTGAGACCAGCCTGGGCAACATAGTAAGACCCCATCTCTTAAAAAAAAAAAAAAAAAAA